ATAGTATTTTGAAAGAAAGAATTAATATTCAAGGAAGAAGATTAAAGAAAATAACTCACAACTTACAAATTCATTAAGCTTCAAAGTAGCAAAACCAAGATGGAAGAGTTTAGCTCCTCATTTGGAGACTAAACATGATGAAAAATATAAAGAAAGAGTTATTCTATACTGAGCTTAGATGTACAAAGGAATTGGATATCTTTTTGTGAAGGAAAGGAGGTGTATTTATAGGTTTTTGGGATGGGGTTCGGGTACTCGATCGGGTATATACATGGTACCCGATCGAGTACTTGTGTAACACTCGATCCGAGGAATACTCGACCGGTTTCAGGCTATTTTCTAAGGGTATACCCGATCGAGTATATATGAATACCCGGTCGAGTATGCTTAGAAAATGGTATTCGGACCATACTCGACCGATCTTCGTTTGAAATTCAAAGGCATACCCGATCGGGTATGTCGGTCTACCCGATCGGGTATAGACATAAAATCGTGGCCGAAATCTTCCCTGCATGTTCCCTTGTCTTCGGATCTGATCCGATTTGAAGTTCCAACCTAATACCCGATCGAGTATAGCTAATACTCGACCGAGTATAGACCAAAATTCAGGATCTTCTTTTGTCTTTGAACTTTTGCACCTTCTTTTCACTTTTTGGGTTCACCAACTGTACTTTGAGTGACCAAAACCTGCTTAAGCTCAGAATATATCTAATCTAACCTATTTACAAGAATTTAACAATCTAATCTATTACACCAAAAGTGTGTAATTTCCAAAGTAAAAGTCAAGCAAAACTAATTAAAAACATAAACATAGATATGGAAATTTCTGTCCTTTTCTTCATCTTCTTATTATTCTATTTAGTTTCTCTATTTTTATATTTCCTTTCCGCCTTATCAGAAAAGCTTTTTTTGGTAAAATTTCTCCTCAATAGTTTCTTTTTATTTCTTCTTCATCTTCCACATTTTAACTCTCTATTTTCCTTTTAAAGTATTACTAGTCGGCTAATTCTATTTTTTAAAGATTTTTATCCCGTCCAACCCAAGTGTACGTCGTGGGCTGCTTGGCACTTGGGACGCTGTGATTTGGGCCGCTGTGCTTCCTGGGCTTATTGGGCCTTTGTTATGGTAGTGGGAGTCTATGGGCAAGGGGTCCACTGACCATATACTCCACCAGTTGACAAAACTTTATTTCAAATCTCGGTTGCTAACCATATTCTGCTAGTACAAATATATGTAGATGATATTATATTTGGGAGTACTAATGTAGAACTATGCAAGAATTCTTCTCAAGTTATGCAGAGTCAATTTTAAATGAGTATGATGGGAGAACTAAGCTACTTCATAGGATTGCAAGTGAAACAGGTTTCAAAAGGGATCTTTATCAACCAAGGGAAGTACACCAGAGACCTGATCAAGAAGTTTGGGATAGAAGGAAAAGCCTCAGTGAAGATTTCCATGAATACATCACAGGGAATTGGACCAGATGATGAAGGAAAAGATGTAGATGCAACAACGTACAAAGGATTCATTGGATCTCTTCTGTATCTAACTGCAAGCAGACCAGATATATCATTCTCTGTTGGAATCTGTGCCAAATATCAGTCAAAGCCCAATGAGAGCCATCTAAGCGCTGTAAAAAGAATCATCAGATATATCAAAGGAAATCCAAATGCAGGCATATGGTATCCCAAGGGAGGTAACTTTTAACTAATTGGTTACTCTGACTCAGACTTTGCAGGTTAGATAGAAAGAGCACCTATGCAGCCAGGGTCTCTTCAGGGGCAGTTTTATCAGTCCGGAAGACACCGGGCCTGGGCAGAAAAGAAAGGCAAGCCACAGAGACGATCAAGAAAGCAGTCATCAAAATATCTATGCATAGGAGAAAGTTGTTCAGGCTTGGGTTCATCAAGAAAGCCGGGGTCTCTTCAGGGGCCTCTGGATTTTTCATCAACTCCGAAAGACCCCAGGTCTGGGCAGAAAAGGAAGGGTCTCTCTTTTCAAGGAGGTAATACAGGGACTTCTGCATCCCGTATTGGCCTAGCTGAAAGCATAAGGCCCCCTCATCATCCAGCTTGGCTTCACCTTCAGGGGTCTAAAGCCAACCTAGTGTTATCTCCTCTCTCCAGCCCAAGATGGCCTATTCCACCTCAGCCTGGAAATCTACGCACCCCTTGAAGGCCTGGACAGCGGCCGGACCAGCTTCCTTAGCCTTCCTCATCAGCTCCTCCTCCATCACCCGGTGCGCGGCCTCGAAGTCATTCAACCTTTTCTGCAGCATCTTGCTCTTCTGCACTGCCACCCTCAGCCTCTTCTCCAAGTCACCAGCCTGATCCTTGAGACCAGACATCAGGGTCTGAGCATCGTCCTGACTTTCGTCTAAAAGACGGGAGCCTGAGGAAGCCAGAATGAAGTCCTAGAAGCAACAAAACCAGAGTTAAGAGAGGAAGACAAACAAGAAATCTCAATGTAACGATGGAAATAGCGAACGAGGCATACCTTAGATAGAGAGTGGACGGCGCGTCGGATGGCTGTCCGGGGAGACAAACCCCGGATCTCCTCTTTATCAATGGGAGGAGTGATAGCCAGGCTTAGCGACACCGGGTTCATGGTGTGGCGGAACAGAGAGGCGGAGCGCGACTTCATGGAGAGGCGAACATAATGGATGGGCCCCAGGATTTCCCCCTGATTATCACCTCCCTGGGACTGGGCGTCCGAGTCAAAATCCACATCAACAACATCCTCATAGGATTTAACAGAAGCTTTTCCTTTCTTCTTGGGCCGGAGATAGGCCAGAGTGCCAGCCTCTTCCCAACCCCCTTACCAATGGGGGGCTGAGGGTCAACGCCCGGCGTATTCAGATGCCCAGCACCATCTCCGGGGATGGATCCCCCTGACTTCTCCGAGGCGGCCCTAACGGTCCCCCGGGTCTGGATCTTCCTGAGAGGAACTAAGGGACTGGGAGTGACACCAACCTTTGCCGCAAATCGTTCTAGCCGGGAAGCCATCTTGTCACCCGCTGTAACAAACGCAAATCGAGTAAGCACAACCACTCTGTCCTCACCTACGTAATGGCCCATCCGAAATGGCGCACCATCAGCAATCAGCTTGGTAGCCTCCGCATTGCCCTCTGATAGAAAAGGCATAGCCCACTTCTGAATCATCTCCCCCCACTTGTTCTCCAACTACAGCCTGCCATCCGCAGGGGTGACCCAGACCCATTTCTGCCTCCAACCCTTGAAAAAGTCAGGATAAGATTTGGCCTCGAATAAACGATGACCGACCCGTTGAGAAATCAAGAGGTATCCTGAGGACTCAGAACCACCAGGTCGTACAGAGTGAAAGAAATGGAGGAAAGATCGACTGCAGGGAGAATACCTAAATGCAGGCATCGGGCTAGGAACCTGGCTATGAACATATGGGTAATTGGGGAAAATTGACCCGGAACCACGCCATAATAGCCCATAACGCTCAAATGGGCATTATGGAGAGGGAATCGAAGGCCTACTTGCAGACTAGCTAGATGTACCCCCAAAATGAAGAGGAGAGGGAGGGTCTACGATGTTCTGTCCAGGGGAAGGGCGGGAACAGACCACACCAGGGCCCGCAAGGGCCACCGCCTCGCTGAATTCGGCGTTAGATAAAGCGACGGCCGGGACTTGTCGCAAGAAAGGAAGAAGTGTGTTTCCCTCCCATCCGGGTCCACCGGAATGTGGGGCCGGTTGGAGGTGGCCCCTGCGTCGGAAAATACGTGGTGCAGAGGAACAGAACTCGAAGAAGACATCAGGGAAACTAACCTGATAAAGCTTGAAGACGAAGGCCAAAGCGGAAATGAAGATTGCGGAAGAGCGTAATGAAAGACGATAGGCATTTAAATAGCCAAGAAATTAGGGTTTGGAAACCGCTTGGGAAACCGCAACGATAACACTCGAGTGCCGAAGATGGTAAGTTGGGTTGGAAACTGTACCGGGTTGCATGCCTATGTCGGGATGGGCGCATTTAATGCGAGCGGCGCTACAGTTCACCCCAAAAGATTCCAAATTCGAAATTGTTCGCTCCAATCACTCTCCTAAAATCCAGCCTCGCTGATTTTAGAGATTAGGGGGCTCGTGATGGTACCATGGGATTCAATCATGGCCCAATTACGGAAATACAACCCAAAAGCCCACAACGGGATCAAGCCCTTAACGGGATTAGGCCTTAAACGGGATTAATGTTAGGAAACCACTAGGCCTAACTAGGAATCAAGCCCACGAGAGAAACCCACAACCAGGGCAGGCTGGGAAGCAGGCCTTGAGCCTGGGCAGAGTTCTGGTGAGGCTGGAATATTCCTAGGGCTGACGTGGCACACTATCATTAGATCGGGAGCTGGCAGGAACGTGGGAATAAAGGAACAATCATTGCATAAACGGTGAAGACGTTACAAGAGTCTCATTCGAACTAATGTGTAATTAATAGCATCTATTATATTAGTTTCCTTTTGAAACACTAGTTCCTTAGCCTATAAAGATCACTTGTAAACCTCCTGAAGGGAGATCGAAAGTCCAATCAATAAAAAAATGCATTACGCTGCCATATTTTCATCTGCTTTCGTAAAATATAGTTCTCGTAATTGGATTAAACTCCATCACAAATTTACTACTTTCAGCTTGCATTGGAAACTTTTCGAGTCAAGTTGTATACAACTTTACTAGTTTCAGCTTCGAATTATGGAATACAAATGAAGTTTGAATGAATTATTCAAATTAGATAGAAGTACGTAAAATCTAATGGATTAATGGTGAATGGAATATTAAAACCATAGAGTCAGACTTTAAGGGTGCCGACTCTTCTTACAGCTAGCAGAAAAAAAACTCGGGGTTGGGTTTTCCCATTTGTTATGGCCACCAAAAGTCTATGTCCACCCCTTGACTTGTAGTCTCTGGAGTTTTAGTGTACGGGCAATGAACCCGTTTTGGCTCTATATATACCCTTCCGGTAACCATCCATTTCTGGTGTCCAAACCCACCAGTAATCCAAATCTAATTAAGCTCTTTAATAATGGCAAGTAATCATCCCATTTTCAGCATCTCCCTTCCCTTGTTCATCTTCTTCCTGCTTGCTTTCCCGGCTACCGGAGAAGAACAAATCTTCGGAGAGCAGATAGACCGGGAATCTCTTGGACTGAAGAGCGAAAAAACCAGTCGTTTCCGCTGGTATTGGCACGACGTCCTTAGCGGGACGAAGCCAACGTCGATCGAAATCATTCCCGCGGCGAATAGCTCTTTGTCGAACACGGGCTTCGGGGGGACAAACATAATCGACAATCCGCTAACCGTCGGGCCGAATCTGAGCTCCAAGTGCGTGGGAAGAGCGCAGGGGTTTTATGCTTCCGCGGGACAGACAGATCTTGGGCTCTTGATGGTCATGAATCTGGCTTTCATCGAAGGCAAGTATAACGGCAGCACCCTCACTGTGGTCGGCCGGAACCCGGTGTTCAATACGGTACGGGAGATGCCCATCGTCGGCGGCAGTGGGCTCTTCCGGTTCGCTCGCGGCTACGTTGAGGCCAGGACTTACTGGTTTGATATCAAAACTGGCGATGCCACCGTCGAATATGATGCTTACGTCTTGCATTATTGAGCATGCATTTGTTTTTATGTTGTCACCTTTACTTCATAAAATATGTTGGCCGCTATTTATTCTCTATTATTGAGCACTTCCTCTTGTGTCCATGTAAAAACAATGTTTAGACTTATATTTTTCTACATTTGAGTACTATCAGTAAAATATTAATTTAGTTATTTTAAGTAAAAAAATCGTTTAATTTTTCCCCTAGAAAATCATTAAATAAAAATAAACATTTTTATGTAAAAAAATAAATTTCATTCAAAAATACACATTTTGATAGCATGTTTTTTATTTTTTTCAATTTTAATAAAAAATAAAATGATTTCATGTAATACTCAGTTATTTATGGAGGCTCATCGATTAAAAATCTGTGTTTCGTATTTTCTTGGGTTCAAAAAAACTCAAACAGTTAAAATTTCAATTTTTACACTTTATATACCGTATGTAATATTGATATCATATGAAAGATCATAAAAATTTATGAATTTTGATATATTTATTAAAAGGGGAAAATAATTAAAATACCTCAAACTTTGAAAGGGTGTAAGATAAACACAACGAACTTTCATATGTAATTTAAATACCCCAAACTTTATATAAAAAGTTATTTTAACACCATGGTTATGTATTATTTCTTAAAAAAGTAATCTATAGTGTTAAATACATAATTTAAAATAGCAAGTTGAAAACATTAGAATTCTATATAGTGGTGGGTAATACTATTTAGAGAGAACTATCAAATAAGCCCTCGAACTTTCATAAAAATTGCGAATAAGCCCTTTTACTGAAGGCTTTGTCCGGCTGTCGCCATTTAGGGTGATTTCGGGTGGAATTTTTTGATGAAATTTTTTTAGCATCTTCTTCATTAAGTCTAGTTTACCCATACCAAATTTTCAGCTAAAAATTCAATTGAGAAGGCAGACAAATGATTTTCTGAAATATACTGTGCTGCCTAACCGCACAGTTATCTTCAAAATCTCAAAGAATGGATCTCCAAATGAGAAGGAAAAGAGGTGTATTTATATGTGTTTGTAAGTGACAGGGCTAGATACCCGACCAGGTATATAGGGTACCCAATCGAGTATCCTTAGCAGTAGTCTGGAAGCTTCATAAATTACATTATACTCGACCGAGTATGTCGGTCTACTCGATCTTTTAATTGTTCTTCATATCCAATTTGATAAACGAGACACGTATGGGTATATGAACATTTTTTCATTTTTTTTGTCTTTCCTCCCTGCACTTTCTTTGACCTTTTTAGGTCCAATCTCAATCTTTTGGATGGTCTGGAGCTATTTTGAGCTTAGAATAGTCTAATCTAAACAAATTACAAGTATCAAGGAATATAAAGTATTACACCGTAAATGTGTAATTATAATCACAACCAATAATAAAAACTAACTAAAAGTGCAACGATACATAGTGAAATTACGCCAATATCATAGCTCTAAAAGACCTTTGTTGGATTAAAGCACACTCAAACTTCTATTTCCATTAAAAGGGAACATACCATCTATTGCACACTTCACAACCATGGCAAGAAACGGGGGGCACACCAAGAAAGAAGAAAAGAGAAACACAACAAAGACAACCACTCAGACAAACAAGCCAAGTAATTAGGGTTTATCACAGTACCGGGCGACGGGCTGATAGGCCACATTGTTCTGAAGGCCACTGGGGTGACTGACACGGTACATGTCAATCATAACCTCAGGTGCCTAACACTACTAGTAAAACACTTGGATCACACGACAATAGAGATACCAAGTAAACTTAAAACAGATATGCACTTAAGCATGTCACTTATGAAAATGGAAATGCACTACACACCCTTATCTAAGTAGATGCACAACCTAGAGAACACAGATCTGTCACATGAAAGTACAGATTCACACATGCAGAATCACAAAACAAGAGGATAAGCATATATAACTGGAACTCGCCAGTCACAACTGACAGCAAGACCACGTAGGTCAACAGTGAAAGTGAAGTGAGGAAGGGAGTAAAGTAAAGAATATCAACACATTTACTGAGATCCGAAGGCACCCAGTGACCTAGGGTTTTTATTGCCTATTTACCTGAGCAAGAACTCGTACGGGGTGTCTCGACCTACCTAGATGAGAAGATCTGTCACGGTGGATGGTGGCAGAGGAGCTCCTAGGCGACAGATGAGATGTGGATGACACTAAGATCCAGCTTTAGTACCACTTTAGGATGTTCACTTCTCAAGCTCAGGCCACACTCAAAGGTTTACACAAAACCCCACCAGAAGGACCGTAAGGGACATACACACCAAGCTATCCCAACACTCACCACACAAAAGAGAAGGATAGAGGTGGAGGAGAGTACACATGAAGGGACAACCGGAAAGAGGTCAATCGACTGACCACACACGCCTCACTCTCTCTTGTTTCACTCTATCTCTCCCTAGAAGAATCACAGAAAGACATCGAACCCACAGAGAAGGTCAATGAGATAGATCCCTAAGACCTCGAACCCACAGAGAAGGTCAATCAGATCCCTAAGTACCAGAGGACCCTACAAAATATTTCCATAAACACAGAGGACCAGGTCAGTCGGGTTGGACATCAGGTTGGACATTAGACTACATGAGTTGGGACAATAGTCTATATACCTAATCTAATACTTTGTATTAAGCATGACGTAATTGTAAAAAAACTAATCTCAATTTATAAAAAGTTTCTTACGCAGATGATTAATTTATCAATTTGCATTGTAAATATACTCCATCCAGGCAAACTTGGTGAACTTTGATCGACACTTGAAAATAAAAAGTCAACATTGTATGGTAGATATTTGTACACACGAGAAAAACAATAAAAATTGTGAGTGACTTAAAGGAAAATGACAGTTTTAGAATAATAAAAAGTGAAAATTGACAAAAGAAGGGGATAGGCGTAGTATATATTTGATATAGTTTTTTAGTTCAATGAATAAGAGGTGTTAATCAAGCGAATTGAACTTTAATTCGGTTTAGATTGAGTGGTGTTTAATATATAAAAGTTGGCTTCAAGTTGCATTTGGTTTTATTTCTTAAAAATGATATATTTTTTAATTAACAATTTGACTTGTTATTATGTTGAGATACGCATATGCAATTATCAATAACTTTTACACGCAAACAAGTGTTTCAAAAATCTTTGTTTAATTGTTGCTTTGGGGCTCTCTTTACTTTCTACGATGGACTAAGTCCTACTAATTCTACTTAAATCTGCTTGAGCGCTACCTCCAAATGTCTAAAGTCTGCATAACACCTTTAGAACATTGTCTAAAATATTAAACAACATATGGGTTTCTAGTATATTTTAAATAAGAGATTTGTATTATTTTTATGTATGATTCATATCATAAATAAATAATATAGTGCTCATATACATGAATCAAAAATCAATATTAAATGGTTGATGTTAATTTCAACACGAGATTTATCGTATAAATCTATAAAATCATGACAAATTTAAGTACACTTGATTTTTACGTTGAAACATGAATGGGTGAAAATCACGAAAATTTTCAGACTAAATTGAAGCATATTCTCATTTGATTGATGATTGATATTCATCATCTTGTCACATAGTTCTAGCTAGAGCTCCTATTAAAGGAACACAAATGATGTTGGTACACATAGTTTGTACACATATTATGTACACTCTCTATTTGTCTGTCTACACATGCATTTCGTTCAGAAGTTGCCTTGTAAATAGAAAACTAGGGAGAGTTTACACAAATATGTGTACAAAATATGTATACGTACGCAAAATAACACTCTAGGGGCTCGTTTAATTTGGTTCAAGGAATGTTAGATTACCATGAGAATGATACATTGCTAAGTATGTTAGATTGATGTGAATATATTCCATTTACTCTTATTTGTGTTTGTTAAGATTAAAAGAATGTGACATTAAATTATTTGGTTGAAAGATATTTTCTATTTCAGATTTGATTAATTACTTCAATACCCTTCAAATATTCTATCTTAACACAATAAATATATTACAACCTACATCTAAAGTAATAGGAACTAAAGAAAAAAATGAAATATCTTAATGAAGAATAACATCTAAACTAATTGAATTATTTTTAACTAAATTATATTTTAAATAAAATATAAACTTTTTGAATATAATTAAATAAACATACTTTATATGTCCCACTTAAGAACATTTAGAATCAATTTGATAAAAGTTGAATATTTTAAAGGTTATATAGAATCACAAAAAAATCAGATTTGATAAAAGTTGGATATGTAAAGTAAAAGATTAATAACATTTACTTTGACCGGATAATAGCGGACAAGAACATTTAAGTAGAAGAGTCGAAAAGAAATTAAACAAAAAAAGATAATTGATTGAGGGTATTTTCGGAAGAAAATTATTTCATTGCTGAGAATCTCAGATAATCTAAGACATATATGAGTTTAACATCCTATACATATTATATCCCGGGAATGTAACGTTCTAGTTTTTTTTTTTCTCAATCCTACGAACAAACGTGAACATCTAACATTTCTTGCATCACATTGCGGTTTTCATGTGAGATCACTCCAAACCAATCTATCTATCCCTTAAAGGAATTGCAAGGTAGTCTAGAGTTCGGGGAGCAGTGGAGATGAGAAGGATCCCTTATCAACTACTCCGTATCATTGAGAGAGATGCTATTTATAGTAAAAGAGGAAGGGACTAATCGAGCAGCTTGCATAATTGCATTGGAAACTTTTCGAGTCGAGTTGTATAGAACTTTATTTATTACTACATTCAGCTTCGAATTATCGAATACAAATGAAGTTTGAATGAATTCAAATTAGATAGAAGTACGTAAAATCTAATGGATTAGTGGTGAATGGAATATTTATTCCTCCGTATTATTAAAAGGTAGAATTCCCTAAATAGGAGTAAAAAAGTTTTGAAATCCCAAAATAGGAGTATCATATTTTTTATTCTTTGAATATAAATAAATTTCTGTCAAGTTTGACATTACTAGGCTTTAAAATATGGCATTTTTTCAAACTTGGCATTTTTTTCCAAACCTGGCAGATTACTCCTATTCAGGAAATAAAAAAATATGATACTCCTATTTTGGAATTTCAAAACGTTTTTACTCCTATTTACAACAATTTCAGGGTGCCGACTCTTCTTACAACTAGCAGGAAAAAAGTCGGGGTTGGGTTTTCCCATTTGTTATGG